ACAGCTTTTAAGTCTTTCAGTGTAATCTTTTACTTGCATAAAGGATTTATGTAGCTGCAAATAAATACATTAACTCCAATCAGTGTCCAGTACAGTTTATTCGCAACCAGCCTTAGCAATTGAAAATACCTTGGTTAATTTCATCTTTTGGTGTGAAGAGTTCTTCTTTGCATTTATCAATGCATCCTCCAATTTCTGCATAAACATATTCTCAGCAGGACATGAACCAAGTTTAGCATGTGAAACCAGAAGACTTAGAATAAAGACATGCATGCAGATCAAAGTACAATCAGGGGTACCTTAGATTTCTTCTGCAAATCCAAAACTAGTTTTCCTTTCTCTTTCAAGCTCTCCTCCATCTGAATAGTCTGACAACATATAATGAAACTTAGTGTCCCCTAAAAATTTCATTATGATTTTCACGCAGGTCAAATGCAAGAAATAATGCTGAACTACCCGAAAATGTGCCTCTTGCTTATTGGTATCAGAAAATCTATACAATGCCAACATAGGTCTTTATGAATAATCAGACAAATAAAGGTATAGGCATTGCTTTATTTACTCAAATTCTTTAAGGGAAGACAGACCTCCTTCTTTATTTCTTCAAGCCTTCGCATGGATCTCTCGAGCTGTTCTTTTACCTAATATTTTTAACAGAAGAAAATGCAAGCAAAAAAGTATTTTAATCAAGATGACACAAACTTATATATGTATGGCACAATCTTAGCAAGAAAAGCTAAAAATGCCGAACTTGCCTGATCATCATAATCATCACTGGGATGGGATAACAGGTCCCTACTTTGTCGGTCAACAGAATTTGAACTGCAGGAAAAAAAAACAGAACATCATGAAAAGCGACAGAATCTAAACTGCAGAAAAGAAACCAGAACATAAGAGGACCCTTATGTGATTCATCATATCTTTCTTTCTCTTGATCATCTCCCAAGAAACACAATTGCTACTGAAATACAATAAGATCAACGTGGCCACAATGTTTATGCAGATGTCATATTCAACTCCTAAAAGCATTTGGGACTCTGTCATCTAGTAATCGACATAGGATATGTACTTTCTAGAAGTCAACGTGCAACTACATACAAGTATCAATTATTCCCGATGTTGTTATATGAAAGGCTAACGAGCATACTCACGATCAAGTTAAGAGGATGCAAAAACTAAAACTTTGACTTATAAAATACAAAAGAGCGTAATCTATGTATGCAAAATGTTAACAGTTGTGCAAACTAAATATGAAGTTCAGTTCCACCCTTATCCTCTGACAGGTGTTTAATGCCAAACAACAATTAGAAACAAGAAGGGCGTCTTACCTGTTCCTTCTCCTTGAATGTTGATCTCTATCCTTGGCAGCTATAGTAGTATGATTTTTGTTTTTTTCCATCTCCCTATCTCTGTCAGAGCCCAATGCTCGATCTCTTTCCCAACCCTGATCATGGTTCCTGCTCTGTCCTTGCTCGGCAACTTCCAAATCTCTGTCTTGATGACGGTCTCTATCCAAGAAATGATCTCTTACTTGATCATAATCACGTTCACGGTCATACCCTCTATCCCTTTCTTGATCATCCCCAAGGGACCGGCCACGGTCACGTTCTCTTGATCGATCACTGTGCTCTCTCGACCGATCACTGTATCGATCCTTATACCGGTCTCTATCATGATCATACTCCCTCTCATGATCTCTATCTCTATCCCAGTTCCTGCCCCTCTCAACATTCCGTCCAAAACCTTCTCTGTCTCTACCAAAACCCAATCTTCCACCTCTAGTCCTCACTTCATTTACTCTGATAACTCTTCCATCAACAGTCTAATTCAAAGCTCAACAATGTCACTCAAGATTTTAAGAAAACAAACCGATCACAGACACCATAACTACATAAATGTTCAAGTATAAACTTAAATAAATAAATAAAACATACCCTGCCATCCATCTCATTAATGGCATGAATTGCAGACCGAGGGTTCCTGAAAGTAACAAAGCCATAACATTTTCCTCTAGTCGAAGCATCATTGATAATCTGTAAGTTGAAGAATTGAAGAAGCAGCAGCAGATGAGGGAAAGAAAACCTAAATGCTTAAAACCCTACAAAGTAAAATGGACAAAAAAAGAAGAAGGAAGTAGCGGAAGTGACCTTAACGGCAATGACGGAACCGTACAACTCAAAAACTCTGCGAACTCTATCCTCGGTGGCGTCGTACGGAAGGCCTCCAACGTAGACGGAGCTCTCGTCGTCAATCGTCATCTCTCTCACTCGCCTCTCTCCCAGTTCTTCTCAATAGTTTTCCTATTATTTTGTTTTCTTTACCAAATAACAAACGACATGTAGTTGACTGTGGAGTTCCCAAAAAAGGACGTGTCGTTTGAACTTTGGACCCGATGGACACCCCCCTACTGGGCCTTACCCAATCAAAATAAACGACACCCTCAATGTGGACTTTCAAAACGAGATGGATTTGACATCGGCCTGCCCAATCAGATAAAACGACACCCTCGATGTTAAATTTTCAAAATAGATGCACTTCTATTGAGATTTGGATGGGGAATTGTTAAAAATTAACATTATAGTTGGAATGATAATGACTATTTGGTTTGGATTTGTGGAAATGATTCACATTTGTTTAAATGTGGATTAGGTTAGTTAGTTATAAAGGTGAACATTTCTCATTGCACTCAAATTCGAGTCCGTGCTCATATAAATTAGACTATTTTAAGGTAGTTTAGATAAAAAAAGGGAAAGAAAAAAAATGTACTGTCTATCATAAATCGGGCGGTCCACATCAAGGACAATTCGTTGATGGCTGATAATCTATCATGTGGCTGTTTAAATTCAAGAGTCGTCCTCCTTGCTTACCCAAAAAATTTGACCTCAGAAAGGAAGAAAGAAAGAAAGAAAGAAGCGGAAGATTTACAGAAAGGGAGGTTATATCGTTGTCAACACGTGGGAGGTAACTGACGCGTGAATATGCTGCCCCTCCCTCTCCCTCTTCCTCTCAGATCAGTCAGCCCCCTGGCTTTTGGGTTGCGTCGTGGTGATGGTGGTCCTTTTTCAAAGGAAATTCAATGTGGGCCACTTGGGCCCACTTCCTCCAACTTGCTCTGCCTCTGCCTCTTCCGTAACGGGATCACGTGAAACCCTGAAAAACAGGCCAAAACGGTGGGCCTCTACGGTTCCAGGCGAGCCACCCACCCGCTCCACCAACGCAACTTCTTCTTTATAATATTTCATTTATTTTTTCAAATTCCATCCAAATTACAAAATATAAAATATAAAATATGTAGTAGCTCTAATAATATTTATAAAACATTAACGCGGGATATAGCCTAGTGAAAAAGGGCTTATTCTGAATATCACTTATATTTATTATAAAAATAAAAAAAATGAAAAATTTATAATAAAAAAGATGAGAAGAAATAATAATTCAGGTGTTGTAGATGAGTCAGCAGAGGGACTTTACGCAGGAGAGGTGGCAAAAGGCAGAGGACAGTGGTGTCATGTGAGAGGCAATGTTGAGTCCCTCTTGACTCATTATTACGTTATTGGGTCGGGGTTCTGGGACCCGTTATGGTTTTAGTGCCTTTTTCCTTTTTCCATTCTTAGCAAAGCCACATGCACCCATATGACATATGTACATGATGAATTAAAAGTCACAAACTCTTGTTGTCCAGAAACTGAACAGTGAGTGAATGCCAAATTGCCAATGGGGTCTCTCTCTCGATCCCTGTCCTGTTGGTTTTGTTCATGTACCCATCCATCTCGATCCCTGTTCAGTAGATGAAAATCACAATCAATTGCTCAAATACAACCAAACAATGCCATGCCCAAGTTAAAGATGGTGTCTCTGCATTTTTGTTGCTTTTACTTCAAAAGCTTTATCAGCTACATGCTATATAATATAGTCTAATGTTCTTGCAAGCACGATTTAATAATGTTTGCATCGTTCATGGCCCCATCGTCCTACGAGAATTATGTTTCACAGTCGCTTCGTTTTTTTTAATTAAAATAAATGAACAATTTGATCGAGTGACACTCAATCTTTACTTACTTAGAGGAGATTGAGTTTCATCTACTCACTTGGAGAGATGAGCACACCTTTTCCACGGGGTAGGTAACGAGTTAAATCCTGTAATTATGTACCGGTTGAAAGTGACATTTTCTTTGATGTAGTTTCTCGCACATAGGGTCCGTTTGTTTTGACAAATGAAAAACGACTCTCCCATTTCAAAAACGAAAATGGCCAGCCAGCCATGATCATGATTATGTAACATAATTAAACATGCTCAATCCATTTAATTAATATTTCCGTACTAGTTGGACGTCAACTTTCAATAGAAAAACAATGATTAAATTAAGAAAATAAAAACTGGTTTATAGAATATAAATTAGAGAGATAATAATGCAGACGTTTACCAAACGCGCAGGAAGAATTATTATTAGTGTTTGGTCGCAGGTAGCAGTCGATGATATATAGGCTAGGCTAAGCTAGGCTGAGGGTATCGTGTAGATTGGACCCTTTGAAACGGTTCCTATTCCATTATGGTAAACGTCAGCTACCAGTGTGCTTTCCCTTTCCAATTTCCATTTCTTTATTCATTTTCTTCCCAGTTTTCTTTCTCTGCAAAATCAATCTTGGAGGGCACCAAGGGTCACGCCCACAACCTCTTTTTCCCTGCGTTGACTGCCTTCTATCTAGACCATCCATAACATGAACATGATTTTCCTAAGATTCCATAACACATTGATCACTCCAGTTATGTCTTCCCTCATCTTTCTGTACAACTGAATCAATACAGATGAGATGTTTGATCAAGGCATAATGTTTCGGGAGATTCATGCCAGATCCCCTCTTCAATTCCTTTTTGTTTTGACTTAAAATACAATAACACAACATGTCAAATTGTTTCGTTAAAAAGTAGCATAAAATCGAAGAAACGATGGATTAGAAATTATTCTTTTTTTAGAAAAGAAAAATATTGTACCTAAATATATATAGATATATTGTACCACATCCATTAAGCATTTCTGGATCATTAAAGCAGAACATGAAAAAAGAGCAAGAAACTCATAAAATTTAAAATAAAATAAAAAAGCTAAGGTGAAATTTAGACATGATTGGCATTATTATTTTGATTAATAACCCCAACCGGTTGGTTGGCTGTGGTTGCTTCAGCCGTAGGCATGACCTGCCAAGCCGAAGCCGCGATGAGAGGACGGCTGTGCCAGCCGAGAGTGAGGCACCCGTCGTTCTCTTCCACGCGGTACCCTTCAGCCGAGAAAAGTGTCAGAAGCATACTCGCTTGCTTGAAAGCATTGGAACCCAAATGCAGAGGCCTAAACCCGGCTTGTCCCAGCCGAGCCCTCCACTTCCCCAACGGCTCCTGTCTCTCCACTCGAGCCGAAAGCATTGGAACCCAAATGCAGAGGCCTAAACCCGGCTTGTCCCAGCCGAGCCCTCCACTTCCCCAACGGCTCGTGTCTCTCCACTCGAGCCGCGCCCTCACAGCAAACCACGTTGCATATCTCCCTCTGTATGTACATCTCCGCCAAGGCCTTCTCCGGCTGCATCGCGCAAGCCTCCAGCGAGTCGAACATCGTCGAGTAGTAGTACAAAGCCTCCGTGAATCGGTCCAAGAACCCGGTTTTGTTGTGGTCCGCTTCCTGCTCCACAACCGTCACGATCTTCGGGTTCAGGTTCCGGATCCAGCCCAGCATCATCTCGATTGGGGAATTCCGGTTAGGGTCCGATCCGAGAAGCCGATGCAGCTGCATGATTGAGTTCACTGCCACAGCCTCCTTCGGGCTCACCTGCAGCATCCACGGCTTCACATCCTCGAGCCTAGAAGCCGCCACTCCGCGAAAGGCGAAACGGACGTTGACGGACCGAGCCAATTCGGCCAGTCGAAGGCCGATTTCTCTCAGCGAGTCTCGCCCGTCCGGCGAAGGCGGTCCAATGCCCGTCAGTCGGAGCAAGGGGGGCCCACCGGGGCGTAGAGCCAGGGCCTGTATAAGTGCCGGCCATTGCAAGCCGTGCATTAAGTTGAAGTCGATGACGTGGACGCAATCGTGACCCTGGAAGGCTTCCAGGATGGCCTGATTGGCGGTGAAGTGGGCGAATTTGAGGTAGGGGCAGGCCTCGTAGAAGTAATGGTAGAGGAGCTCGTTCTCGTGAGCCGAGGCGACGCCCTGGTGGGAGAAGATTCGGCGGCTGAGGGCGTCGATGAAGTAACCAGCGACCTTACCGATGCCGCAGCTGGTGTTGACACGTGTGAGCAGAGTCTGCATGTTCTCGATCAGCGAGCCCGCCAACGCGAGATCGCCACGCTGGACGGATTCGGCGCACGTGACGAGCAAGTGGACGAGCCTTATACCGGAATCTTCTTCCATAGCCGTGACGACGGTGAGCTGGTGCTGCTGCTGCTGAGGCGGCGGAAGAGGTTCGGTCCAGGTGTCGTTGGGGAGGTCCGTTGGATTGATGATGGCGTCAGGGAAGTCGAGATCGGATGGTAGGGAGATAAGGGGCTGGTGGTTGAACTCGGAGAGGAGCGAGTCGACCCAGGTGGCGAGGTCGGAAGGGTTGTAGAGAACGGCATCGGAGGCGAGCTGGGAGAGGTCGTTGGGGGAATTGACCATGACGGTCTCGAGGCGCTCGAGGCGCTGAGCGACATGTCGTAGGTCGGAGGAGCGGACCTTGTAGCCGGCGTCGGCCAAATAGCCATCGATCTCGGCAGGTGGTTTGGTGACGGAGGAGGAAGACGAGGAGCTGGCGCTGCTGCTGACGCCGGAGCAAACGGTGGAACCGTAAGGCCCCATAGATATAATTGCGGGTGCGCTGATCAAACTGGAGAGAGGAATTGGGTGGGTGAGGATGGATTAGATACGAGGTGGGTGTTTGTGGGTTTTGGTGTTCATTTCCATTTCCCTTGGCATCAGGGAAGAGAGAGAGAGAGTGAGGGAGTGAGGAGGGAGTGAGCGATGAGTGGAAAGAGATGGATGAAGAAATAGGGTGGAAGTGAAAGAGAGAGGGAGGGTTTTGATACGAACGAGTAGGGAAGAAGAAGTGTAGTGTAGGACAGAGATGACTGCTGACATGTTCCTGTGGTCCACTACCCACCAACTGTATAGTGTATATACTGCTTTGCTTCCTTTTTCCTTTTTCCTTTTTCCTTTTTTACTTCCACTATTTCTCATGGATTTGTTTTTCCTATTTCATTATTTTATTTTATTTGGAGTAGTTGTGGCTTTAGCCTACTAGCCTCTATGTTAATGCTTATTTGTTCAAGTAAAATAATTCATTCATAATAAGTAATCTGTCTTTTATATAAAGAGCATTTTCATTTTTAAAAAGTATCGTCCTTGTGTAAATTATAAATAAAGAAAAAATATATGTAAGTTAGATCAATTAGTCGGGTCAGTGCATTTATGTTCGGTTCTCATTTCCTTTCTAAATTTAATTTTAAATAATTTAAATTATCGCTTATATAAATATATTTATTTATAAATTTACAATTGAAAAAGTGCGAAACGACTTTTTTAGAATAGCAGTAATAGTTGCTTTTATATTTTATCTTAAAATACATATAGACAATTTACATGAAGAGATGAGATGAGAGGAGAGTCCACAGTGCCGGCAGCAGGCAGGCAGGCAGGCACAAAATAAGAGACTGAGTCAGTCAGGTGTCAACTTGGCTTCAACGTTCGCTCATCTCATGAATTAACTGCACTCAAACTTTCCATCCATTCCAAGCTGATCAACTACCACGCAATTTCCAAGCTGATGATCAATTACTACGATTTCTCTGGTCTGGAATATTATTTTAATACTAAACTATTTCTGCGTAAGTTTCTACCAAATCATCTGAACTCATCAAAAGATTATATCGTCTCTAATTTCTTTAATTTTCTTTTGATTTGGTATGATCTCTTTGTCTTTGTTGAATAATATACTTGTATAATCTGTACTTACATTACATGTGCTGAGTGAGTGAGTGAGTGCAGAGAAGAGGAGAGAATATAATTAAGCATCATGAACCAAGATTCGCTCTTCTTAATTTGGTATTAATCTGTTTCGTGCAGGTGCATATATTTATTTAAATTTTATTAATTTTATAATCTCAAGTAAACAAACTACAAAGAAACTCAAGAAAGCATACACGGGATTAGACTAGTTCACCCAAATTCGAATCTCCCTCCTCCCGCATATTAGTATTGATTAACGCCTTGACCCTTGAATTTGATGTCAACATATACATGTATTTCAAAATAGATCTTTTCATCCAAGATTAATTAGCCCTCAATGCCTTGTATGATGATGACCTTATGCTTAATTAATCGGAATCCCTAGCTAGCTATGATTATTACAACTTGATCCCTTGATTGGTCAAATCCATGAGCTGATCTTCAATTCAACCCTTAGCAAATAGCAATCACCTGAATCCTTTACCTAATTAAAATGAATAGATAGGTTTAAAAATTCATTTATCTCTTAATCTCCACAGAGTTATTGAGTGTATTGACAGTAACAGTTTGAGTTAATAATTATTGACCCTCCTCGTCCTCTATAATTAATTAAGGATCCCTAATGCTCTCTTATGCATATAATGACATGAATGATTGACTACCACCCTGTAGAACCCATCAACGGGACCACTTGAATGTGAGAGGAGATTAAATAATTTAGTTTGTTTTGTATCTCGTTTTGTTTATCTTATCAATAAAATATTATCGCTTTTTTTATAATTGAAAAAAAATTATAACTTTCAATTCATAAATGTCAATATTAATCTTAGTCGCTTTAAAAATGATCCTTCAACTCATAAAAGGGACGTTATATGTGTTGCTTTAAAATAATGTACGTTCCCTTCCCATGAATGAATGAAGGAACCTTATCATCAAGCAGATTTGTGGGACTTATTGAATTTACCTATAAAAAAAAGGTATCTTGTTAGCTACCCTCCATTTACATTGACAGTATTTTTATTATAGTTACAGCGTCATTGTAATGCCGAATATTCCACATCACCGAGACATGTGTCGAATAAAGACAGTAGGAGGTGTCATTGTTACTTCCTTTTTATATTTATAATTCAATATATATTATGTAAATGTTTTATTTTATAACGGGTGTCGTTGTTGTTAATATGAATCATATTTTATTATGTATGATCAATTCGAGTGATATCAAATTATAATAGATTAAAGTGTTTTTTTAAATTAAAAGATATACATAGACATGGTTTCCTACATCGTATTTATTCACAGTAAATTAGATATTTACACGGTTGGTTGATGTAGTTTTTATTATATATTAATATATTTGCAGGAGGAGGTACGCACTTGAATCAAAAACCCTTTTTTATTTTTGATGAACTGGGGGGGTAAAACCCCAAGGACTCAAAAACCCTTTTTAGTGTGGAGTGGAACATCGGATTCTGATCTGCGCACGCTCGTGTATGACTATGTTGTTCATTAACAAAAGAAAAGAAAAAGCTCAAAGCTCATGCAAATAGGCAATGGCCATTGAAAAGCTGAACGAGTCAAATTCTAGACATGCGGCTGGTTCTTCATAATTCTTAGGACCTGTGAACTTATTTGTGGTCATCAAGGCAATACTTTACTGTACATTAATAATATAAAATCCAAACTTACAAACCATGCATATATAATAATATAATTCTCTCACAATTCTATAAGATTTAGGAAGTCAGAAAAAGATCCATGACAGGTTTACAAATGGGCAATTATTTAGAGAGAGAGAGAGAGAGAGAGGTTTTGATGGTTCAAACGTTTTCCATGAAATATGTAAAAAGCTTTTTCCTCGGATTAGTGGGGGTGGGGGGTTCTGTGGTCCATCCAATATTAGATTAAGCCCCAAAAGGATCCAAGTATAGATTCCTAAAGTTCCGAGTAAATGTGAGATCAGTTTGTTTTGCATATGCTTAGACTTAGTCACATGGTTATAGACTCAATATAGTAAATAATTAAGAGTAGAGTGATGAGCATAGAGCAATAGAGCATATCGGGGGAAATAAAGTAATGCAGGAACAACTCCATCTTCCCAATTACAAGTAAGAGCTGCATGCAAATGTAGGTTAGGTTAGCAGATGTAATGTGTTTATCCTTTGCATCCGAGTTCGAATCTAAATTTAAAATAGTAATAGATAAGAGGAGGGTTTTTTTAATTTTTAAATTTGATAAATAATCGAATGAGGAGGTTAAGAGAGGTGTGGGGTGGTCCAGTGAGTAACATGGAACTTGGGACCAGACCAGAGAGCGAGCAAAATCACAAAGCCCAAAAAACATGTGAATTTAAGTGAAAATAGCAGATGTTATGTTCGAGGAGGAGGCGGAGGAGGAGCCAAACTTTGATTGGGAGGGGTACCAGATGTTGACACGTATATATGGACTGACTGAGTCAGTGTGGGAATCAAAAGGGAAATTCAATATATCTGTGCGCTGGCATTGGCCATGCAGATGGCAATTGCAATTTGCAAACAGGGTGGTCATGGTGGGGAGTGAGAGATACTGTGCGTCTGTGAAGACTCTCACGGCAGACTCTCTCTCTCTCTCTCTCTCTGTGTGAGAAGGAGAGAGAAGTTGGGGTTGGGACCAGAGCATTCCTGTGAGAACATGTTGTGTTTGGGACAAACATCTCTAGGGTGTGCCCCATTCCGTTGTTTTTGCTGACACAATCACGTTATTGCACCCTCTCATTGCATATCATAATCACATCACATATCAGATACATATCACACTTGAGCTGTGTTAGCATCAGTTGTCCAAGCAATGACTATATGCTCGCGGTAACTTATAGACATCCCGCAGTATTTCACAATGCATCAACGGCTATGCCAACAGTGTGCTATAGTATAACTCATGATATCAAGTTAGGTATTTTTAGGAGTCCTATACCTTGCCTTTTTTCTTTTATTATATTTTCTCCTTAGAAGCTAAACTTGCCAATTACATAATCCAATTAGATTCCAGCCACCTTGATCATATAAAACCTAAGGTTACTGATGCAACAAATAATTCTAGTAGCCAACCGAGGCCCCTCCTCCTCCTCGGTGCAATCAATAATTGAAAGAGGTAGAGCCTCGTTGTTCCACAAACTCAGCTGTTAGTTACCAAATTGGTCCAATAGATACATGTGACCGTCGGCATAATATATAGCTAACTTTAGATTTGGCTAAAAGTAACTTACCTCAGCATCCAGCTAAGCACCACAACCAACTTTACCACATTCAGCACAAGAATGAGTGCTCACCAAAGCTCTGCACTCAAACTGTTTCAATCTAAATAGGCATGCAGCAACTGCAACACCAGAAAATCTCAGATGATGCATTAATTGAATGGTGGATGGATGACAGACCAATACAAAGTCTGATCATGTCCCCGTTATGTAAATAAGTTATCACGTATGACAGACAGAACGTAATTGGCATGAAGATAATAAAACAATGCTATGTCGGTCATCTATTCTTCTTACCACAGTCAAACAATTGAGATTTTAGTAGAGTAGCCCAAACCCTCAAAATTAGACTTGTAGCAAATCTATCTCAACAAAATCAGTTACTATACCACCCACCTATCAATTCCTATGCACATCAAAATCTGGTCTCACATCTCTGATGGAACAAGGGAGAGCCAATTAATGCCAATATTGTTGTGGAATTTTCACTATTGCTCATGCTGTCTTAGCACTGTACAACAAAAGATAAAGGAATAAAAAGAGAGGGTGAAATGTCATATCACAAGTCAAGCAGTCACCGCAATTTGTTTTTGCAAAAATAGCATTATCCATCCACACTCAAAATATCATATGTTAAACGGTTAAAGTAAGCTTCTCTAACGGTAATAACTAACAACGGACACAGTCACAGACTCCGCAGAGCAGCAGCAATGGCTGCTCCTCTTTCCCTCCACCACATCAGACTACCTTTCTCTTCAGATAATCCAATCTTACACAACAAACCAACCACTTCCACCGCCATCGCCGCTACCCCCATCACCACCGCCACCAAAACTAGTAGGACCAACAACCCAATTGAACCACACCCATGTCTCGCATTGCTAGACAAATGCTCCACCATGTCCGAGCTTAAGCAAATCCACGCCCAGCTCCTCC